TAATATCATCTTGATACAAATCTGTAACTAATCTTATCATGTATACAGCAAATTCAAAAAAAAAAAAAAAAAAAAAATATAAATATAATTAGATTATAATAGAAATAAAAGATAAAAAAAGTAGTTGGTGATCAAGAAATAAAAATTTAACTGCAGTAAAGAAAATTTTTATTTTAATTTTATATAATTTAAAATTAAAATAAAATAACATTAAATTTGGTTAAATAATTTTAATTTAAAAAAATTTACTAAAAATAATTTGATTTTCTTTAAATTTTTTATACAAGGCTTTGTAGTTTAATAAATTAATAAATACAGTACATTATTATAATACTGTATTATATATATAAATTTTTATGCTATATTTTTATTTAGAGTTTATTTATTTTGTTTTGGTTACGCGAAATCTTGCTGTCTTTTGTATGGCGGGTAACATTACTTCAAAAAAAATTAGCAATAGTTTTTTTTTAAATCTAAAGCTTATCTATGTATTGTTATTTTGACTTGACATAATTTTATTTTAAGTCCATTTTTGGTAATTGATTGTGTGCGAAATTGATTGTATGCAGAAAACTTCAGCCTTTTTACTTAATAGGTAAAAAATACATACCAACCTGGAATTTTTTTAGTGGAATATTAATAAACAGAAAAGCTGAATTTAACTTTTAAAGTTTGTTTAGTACCTAAATAGTTTATTAAATAGTTTATTCTAAGCAAACCTTAAATCCAAGCTCAACTCTAGAGATGATGATAGCATTTAAATGAACGATCTACGATCAAGAATAATGAGGAGACGCATAATTCAACAGATCGACATCTTCTTAGTGGCCCGTGGCTTTCTATTGTTACAAATGATTATGGTAAATCAACGCATAATACGTGTGAAGAGAAGCCTTAAAGTGAAATATTTGCGTTACACGACATTTTTCCGGCAGTTTTTTAAAAGCGATTTTGATTATAGGATGCAACCTCCCGACCTTTCCAAGTCCCTTCGTCAATTTCTCGTACTGCCTTAAGTCGAAATTGCATAGTCTGACAGGAGAAAAAAGCTAATAAGAAATTTTTTTCTGTGGGTTAAAAAGGAGCACTTGCCTATAGTATTGACTTTCCTCGGGTCGTTAAATAAGACTGTCTTGCAACTCAAAATTATTTTATGCATTCTGACGCGTAACTCTCTGAAGTGTAGCCGGTAAGTATGGTTAAGAGCATAGATACTATTTCACGTGCTGGAAATAAGTTGTACCTATTATACCAACATATTGAACCTTATATTTAGTTTGTTCTAGGGTACTAAAAACGCTATTATAAAGAATATGTATCCCCCTTCTTCTGAAAATTATGTTTCAAATGTTGAATTAAACCACTTTTCCTTTGATTGGTCCTTTCAAGGAACTGAACTTCCTCCAGGTAAGTCATTAACAATTCAAATTATCAAGTTTAGCAGAATCTTTTGCTACGAGCATTGCTTTATTTTAACGTATTTCGATCTAAAGGTGTATCTCAGAGTGACTATGCGCCACCCCTTCCTAATGCGCCGCCTCCATGTTTACCAATTTCAACCTCTTACCATCATGGTCAACAGAACTTTTATCAACAGCCTAAACAACAAAAAACTTTACGTGGAAAATACAATAAAAATAAACGTGGTTCCTCGAAAAATTGGTCCAGTTCTAAGCGATCTCACAATGCTCATAGCCATGATAAAACATCGGCAAACGGACTATCAAACGTCAATTATCTGGCATCGCATCAAATGACGTCATCTGTCAATTCAGTTGTTCAACAGTGGCACGCGTCAAACGTACCTGAACATACGCCACCTTGGCGATCTCATATTTCAACGGTAGTTCTTTTTAACACATTTGTACTTCAAATAATAATTCAATTAAGTAACATTTAAAACATATTTCAGCCCCTGGACGAAATTGACGTCAAACCACGTGAAGAGTTTGGAAATTGCGTACCTTTTATTTCTGAACGTTCATCATCCATAACTCATAATCATCAATTCTCACGCCACCCTATGTCTCAATATGGTTATCAACCGACTCACCGAATTACTGCAAGTCAATATGATTTGCAACGTTCCTTTAATGCATCGTCTTCCCAAGTAAGCATAGTGTAAAAAAACCTGTTTAAGCAAATATAAACACGTAAATATTTACACTCCATCATATCGGTATAGATAGTAATCCAGAAACCTGCTGCGCCGAGTACTAGCAATATTAAAAATAATCAGGAACGTATCGTTAAAGTTGATGATACCAAAAAGCTAATCGCCAAGAAACCGGTCAATTCTGACAAGAAGCAACCGGTACTAGTTTTTCCTCGTAGCAAGAAACCAAAAACGGAAGATACGAAAAAGTACAATCAAGATAAAGTGATTTGTCAAGCAAATGTCAATGAAGAACCATTAAATCCCCGAACGGGTGTTAATGCTGGTCTCCAGCTCTTTAAGAAAAAAACAAACGGGAAAAAACTTGAATTTAGACTTGTAAGTAGCATTGGTCTTTCAAAGCTCAACATTGATAAATGCCGAACTCGTGAGTCACGCGTTCAAGACGACCATCTTGATATGTCTGCTAAGGTAAGGATATTCTCTGAATCATCATATTTTCAATAATAAATTTAAACATTGAACTTAACATATATTAATCTTGTATTAGAAAATTAAATTAGATACAAATAAAAGTGTAGAAGTTACACAAACAGTTCAAAGTACAAAGCCACAAGAGGATAAGGAAGACAACGTTAATTCTAATTTAGTTGAATCTCTGAAATCCACAACCGACGAGACCCTAGATGATGCTGCTCATAAAAATGATCCTATTATAGGTAATGAGAAGGAAAATGAAGATGCTGGAGTAGCTTTTGAGCTTACGCAAACAATTTTCAAGGGTAATGATCTCAATACAATGGATATTGATGTGCAACTTTATGAACGTACAGAATCGACAATAGTCGATGAAAAAGCAACAGAAAATAATAGTTTCGACGCGCACAAAGAAATCCTTGAGTTAGAAAAACCTTTTGACAACGATAATGCCAACCATAAGGTTGATAGTTTTAATGAAAAGTTCGAACAATTGAAGAAGTCACCTCAAGATTCAAAAGATTCAACTGACACGGAAGGACTTAGGTCTGTTGATTCTATTAAACAATTATCGTCTAAGCAAAAACGCGTAAAAAAATTACTAAGTGTGACCAACAAAGAAGGAAAGGAATGTAAACAACCAAAATCGCAGTCTAGGCCTAGACAAAATTATGCTCGTAAACAGGAAAAGATTTCGTGGGTGAATGTAAAAGATGCAAAAGTTACTAGTTGCGAATCGTGTGGAGACAAGTCTAAAGATTTAGAAACTGTAGGTGCTCTTGAATTATGCTCAACTTGCGTGCCACTGTTTGCTCCTCAGATGGCTAGAGCAAAAGCATTTCCACACGACTTTAAACTAAATCAAAAAGTGGAAGTACTAAATATAGATAAAGTTTGGTACCCTGCCAAGATTGTCATAGTCGAAAAAACTCAAGTAAAGGTTAACTTTGATGGTTGGGGAAGAGAGTTTGATGAATGGATTTCCGTAGATAGCCGAAGGTTAAAAGTGCAGGTGACTGGCGATAATTCGGATGATTGCTTATCTAGACCAATTCAAAAGGATAATTATGATATTCAAACAGCGTCAATGGACTTGCAAAAGAATCCTAAATCTGAAAGTAGCTCAGAGAAGAATATTGACATTGAAACTAATAATAATAATGACAATAATAATAATAGTAATAATAATAATAGTAATAATAATAATAATAATAATAATAGTAATAATAATAATAATAATAGTCATAATAATAATAATAACAATCATCTAAGTAACGATAATAAGAATCGATCAAATACTTCTACGTTTTCGATAATATATGGTTCAGATTCTGAATCACTCAGTAGTTGTCCTGATACTGATTCCGAATCAGACACTGGTTCTAGCAGTAACAGCCCTGAATCTGAGCTGACAACTCTAAGTGATGAAAGTGATTCTGAATACAATACTGTTAGCAATAGTAGTAGTGTCGGCTCTGCACGATTAAGACGTAGGACTGGTTATCGTAAAAATGTAACCTTAAGTCAGCATAGTGTTTCTGAGCCGAAATCTACTCAACCAAAAGAGTCATTATGTGAGTCTTGCAAGATTGTGCATTTAAACGTACAAAGGGTTGGCAGTCTTGATTTATGCTCTTATTGTCGAACGCTTTTTGACGATGATAATACGATTCGTTTTAGGCGTGCCGGACAATACGGATTTCAACCTCACAAACGCGTTAAAATCTTAGGTCGTGATAATAAATGGTATCCAGCAACGCAGGTTGATGTCACAAATGGACGTATTCGTGTACATTTCGACGGTTGGAGTGATAAATTTGATGAATGGGTACCGGCTGGAAGCCAAAGAATGAAAGATATGACATTAGATGAGATATTAGAGGCACAAAAAGCTTTGGAAGAAAGTACAGAAACATTTGATGAAAATGAATCAATGTTAATTCTACATAACAAGGGCAGAATACGCGTTAAGGGCCAAAATAAATCTCCTGCTATTTCGAGTTCTTCAAAGAAAAGTTCTTCACAATCAAAAAACGTTCAATCTAAAAAGAGAGATTATCAATATGATGGCGATTCTGATATCCGAAGTCAACAAAGTGAGTCTAACGATTCTTTAGCTTCATTTGACTGGAATGACTTTTATATTGGACGTAATACGCGTCGAAGTATGCGTAACGATAAGCTTTTGAGCAATTCAAACATACTTGCTCAATTGAAAGCGCGATTCAAACCAGGAAATCAGATAGAGGTACGCAATAGGTTAAGAGAATGGGTACCGGCGACAATAGTTGAATCGAAGGGTTGTCGCGTCCTGATTCATTACGATGATGTCCCGGCATTTTACGACGAATGGGTAGATATTAGTAGTGAGCGATTGCGCATGAAACCCGTAAAGACTAATGAAACGTGTGTAATTGGACAAGATAATAAAGACAAGCAAACCCTGTTAAAGAACAAAAAAGATGACCGTAAAAAGAAGAGTAAATTAGAGGCTGTTGATGACTCTTTGGAATTTATAGATCTTAACACTCTACCTTCGGATATGACAGGTAATTATTTAATCAAATCTCTGTAATGCAAATACGCAATTAGGCCGAGACTAATATCTTTATTCTTAACATTAATAGCGAAGCAAAAATGGTGTATATATTGCAATCAATGTAACGTAATTATAAAACAATTTAGGTATAGTATATCATAGCAAACAAATTTATCAATTATTCTTTTATTAAAAGACAACAAAGAAAGAAATATATAGATATATATGTACGTATCTGAAGTTAGCATCTGCCTGGTATTGCACCTGAAGCAATGTTAAATTACCATTAATGCTTGTCTAATTTCAGAGGGATTAATTTTAACCAGGTGCAATTTCAGGCTCATAAGGTTATAACTTCAAGCACGGCAAATATATATTCACTTAAAAACAAAGATAAATTGATTTTTTTGCATCGTATTTTTTTTAGATATTATTGCACTTATTGCGAAACGCCATCAGAAGGAAATGATTATAAAAGCTTCGAATTATGTGTATGGTAAGGTGTTTTCCAAGCTTTAAGTTGTGTTTTTTCAAACAAAATCAGAGACAATGGATTAACTGAATCATAAAATTTCGTCTTATACTAGGTGCTACGCTCATCAATTCCCAAGCTATCATGAGCATCCACGATGTTCTTTTGCATGTCAGTCAGTGATTGATGATGAAGCGATTAAAATGTCTTCAAAGGGTGAAGTCATCAAGACATTTGATAAAGACATTTTTGACACAACTTACAAAGATCCAGGCATTGATCTGAAGAGCGAGAATGTGCAACTAGATAGTGGCATGGGATATCTTTATTTGCAAGCGTGGAACTCACGTAAAATCTGCGGTTTTTGTAATGATGACGATGATCAGCAGCTTGGTGGATTCATAGGGCCTCAACCTTTTGTTACCAATACTTATACACGTCACGGTGAGAAACAAAAGATTTTCTGGGCTCATGAGGCTTGTGCAAAGTATTCCCCGGAAGTTTTTGTTTCCAAGTCAAATGATTGGTACAATGTGACTTTAGCATGGAAAAGAGGTCGAAGTATGGTGTGTTGACTGGTAATTTAAATACTTATGGTTTTAATGAAATCGATTATATTAATTTGAATGTTTTCGATGCCTCCAGAAATGTGGAAAATGTAAAGAAAGAGGTGCGACTATAGGATGCTTCGAGCCTAAATGTACAAAAAGCTTTCATTTAGCGTGCACTGATAAGCCACTTTCTCATTTCGAGATGGGTGTTATTTTTTACTGCCCTACTCATGAATCACGATATCTCAAAAAAGGTATAAATAAATCGTTAATTTTTAATTTTTAAATAAATTATTAAAAATTAATTAATTTTTTTTTTTTTTTACTTCTGCAATAAAGAAATATATAATGAGATATATAGATGTGATGTTTGTTCCTGTGAATTACAGGCGGACAAATGGTGGACTTGTAAACCATGTGAATCAAACTTTTTCTCTTCTTTTGATTTATGCCCACAGGTATTGATGAAGTATTAATAAATTTAAATATCAGTCTATTATATCAAAACCTAATAAATGTTATAAAATGTTAGTGTTTTGCTGAGAAATTCCCAGAGACACATGAACATAGTAAAGAAGATTTTGAAGAAACATGTAAGTATACTAAAAGAATTTGTTTAGCATTGACACAATTGAGTAAGCATATATAACATATTAGATAAATTAAAGCTGTCAAGCAGATAAAAGACCAACAAATTACAAAGCAAACGGAAATGGCTCTTGCTAATCAGAAAGCTCGTGAATCAGGTAAAGTACGACAAAGTTAACACAATATATTTAGCACAAAATAAAGTATTGATTTTTTTTTTTTTATGACACGTTTATAGGACTGCGTAAGAAAACCAAAAACTATCCAAGTCATGGAAAGGGGCAGTTACAATGTTCTTACTGCTGGGCTGATGAATCTCCTCGTTGGCGTAAAGGTAGATAAGTTTAATAGTAAATAATTATAAATTTCGACAAATTTCTTATTTTTTATCTTCATAGGATATGATGGAGTGCTGATGTGTGAAGATTGTTTTGAATTAGTATTGGTCAACAATACTACTGGAGAATCTCATTTAGAAACAAACAAGTTGATGGTTACCAGTGAAGATTATTCATATCGCCCATATCTGACTAGAAACTCATGTTCAGACAAGAAATTTGACTATTCAGAATCGCAAACAATATATTTGGATACATATGAACCTGCAGAAAATCAACTGTTTTCATTACCTTTTGACAGTTCATACTTTGATATTCCTGGAAGAGCACCAAGATGTAATTAATATTGTGTTAATGTCACTTTAGAAATGTGCTTATTTTATATTAATTATCTCCATATGTGCAAATATCATCCAACAGGGGCAACGCATAGTGGTACCGATTATCATGGAACTTGGTTGCCACAAACTGTTCGACGGTATATTTTAGACGAGTTTATGTGAATTGATGTGCTAGTGTGCTTTATGGATTGAAAATAACTTTTTGCTTGTGTCTAGTGCCTTGCTTCGTTTCACCAAAAAGAATGATCGAGTCATGTCAAATTTCCTTGGAAGAGGTGAGTTGATGATATCTAATATTTAATTAGTTATGAATGTTTACTATAGTTCCTATTTCATATTTATAGGAACGGATGCGATTGAAAGTTTTCTGCTCTGTAGAAGGTAAGTTTTCTATATACAGTATGAACAGCCCGGCCTGTAATTCCAAAACAATAATTATTAATGCGTATTATTATTAAAGACTCGTCGGCGTAGATATTAATCCAGTAAGTTTTAATGACATTTGTTTAACAAACATCAAGAGTTTGATATAAACTTAAAATAATTAACTGTGCGTTCATGCAGGCTGCAGTAGCCTTATCGCAGCGTAATTGCTCATTTGCTATTCCACCAGATAGAGGTATCACGGCCGAGCATCGACCTATTATTCTTCAAGCGGATTCCAGGCATTTGACAGGAACAATTTTTGAAAATGAATCTTTTGATCATGTTTTAAGTCACCCTCCTTATAAAAATTGGTATGGCTAGCTCTGAATTGATTTATGAATTTAGTGGGTGGTATTTTAAATTTTCTTTTCATAGCGTTGAATATTCAACCCATATTGACGGAGATTTGTCAAGATTTGCAAATTCTAAAGAATTTGCAGTAGAAATGAGTAAAGTTATTGATGAAACTTGGAGGTAATTCTAATAACTCCTAAGTTAACTATGTTTAATATCTCATGCAAACTTTAATGGTTTATGGTTTTAGATTATTGAAACCAGGCAAAAGAGTTACGCTTGGTATTGGAGATAATCGAGAACACTGCTTTTATGTTCCAGTTAGTTTCAACTTATTCCGTCAATATATAGATCAAGGATTTGAATTGGAAGAGCTGGTAACTTTTCATATTTATAGTTAATGTATTTACACAATTGTTTATTCATTATTTTGCATTGATACATACAGGTTGCGAAAAGACAGAGATATTGCCAAGCTTTTGGATTGGGAACCTATCTTTGTGTGCAATACGATTTCTTGATGTTTACACATGAATTTATTGCTACTTTCAGAAAAGTTGGTAAAGAAAAAAATGACCTTATGTTAAGTGTACCTGGTATGTTATATATTTTCATGGTATTTTTAACATATAATCTTCCTATATTTATAAGCAATAATTGCATAATTTTCTAGATGAATTGGTGTTAGATGAATATGTAACATTTTCAAGTGAATTAAGAGAAATTCCAATTCTTCCTATCGCGCGTAAGAGTGTTGTCATGGGCACTACATGGACATTTAAGCCTACGTCTAAACACACTTTTGTACAACTCTGTACTTCAAGAATGGTAATTATTATTATTATTATTATTATTATTATATTATTTTATTATTAATGTTTCTCTTTATTACATTAAACTTGTCTTAACGATTTTAGGTTGAGAGATTCGGTAGGGATTATGCCAACTATGAAGAAATATCGATAAAATTTAGAAATCTAGAGGTACCTTAAAATAAAAATTACATTTATTGTAAACTAGTTAAAATCCTAATTTTTACATACTTTAGCAGTTTAATAATAATAATATAGATGAAAATAGAGAACAAACAAATAAAGAAGGTTGGCTTATTATTACTAAGATCTGTTATAAAAATTTTTCGGTTTAATAACTTTAATGCCATTACTATAGACATAGATAGTGAATCAGACGATGATATTCCAGAATACGAACGAATTAGACAGAAGCAAATTCAAGAAAATCAGAAAATGCTACTTTCATTGGTTAGGATCTTCAAATAGACTTTTTCCCTTGTATTTTTTCTTTGTATTTAGATATTATGTTTTAATCTTTTAGGGACTTAAATGTGATCTTGGAGAAGAATCAGATGACATATCTCATCTTGAGAAGATACTCAACAGCAAGCCACTACCTCCGCCAACGCCAACAGCTTTGATCGTCATACCACATATTCCTAACACTGCTCTTAATTCACAAACGATTCCTTACTATCGTGCAATAGTCAAACGTTTGGCTCGTGAGGCATATGATCGGTTGCCTCCTTCCGGATTTCTTGTGATAGGAGGGCAAGATGTTCGAACATCAGACAACAAATTATGGCCTCTTAGTATGCTTTTTATGGAAGATGTGAATAAAGCTGTTGGCGAAGATAAAATGCCACTTAAGGAGCTTGTGATCACTGTACCAGATGGTTATGCAAAAGATAAGAAGAAAATTTGTTCATATGAAGATTATACAGAGGAACGATGTATCGTAAATGAAGAAGAAAATGCAGTGCAATTGCCCATAGTTCATGTAAGTTTTTAAATGTTGTTGTTTGTGATTATGCTTCAATAATGTTTCCCTAACTTTAATTTTTAGGCATGTTATCTTATATTTATGAAACTTAGATAATAGACCTAAATACTTTTGTTAAATTTTCTTTCTTTTTTTGCTTAATACAATGATAATAAGAGATAGATAAACTTAATAAATAATGATTTGGTATTTATCAGTAAAAAAAAAAACTATATATATATATATATATATATATGAAATATTCACAATTGTGTTAGAGGATATACTTGAATTTATTTAGCGATCTAAAAATTCGGTGCAATAAAGGCGAAAACTAGATGAATGAATGAATGTTTCTATGATAATTGATAATTATAACAAACACTTTAAAATACGGTAGATCAAATCTAAACTATAATCTTAACTATTTAGCATGGTGCAATTGTCGCCATCCTTAAAATTCAAACAATAACGCATGGTATTCGCACGTTTTTAGTGCAATATATGGACGGTAACTAATAAACTTATAAAATTAAGTGTGCACCAAAAATGTCGTTTCTTAACATATTTCTTGGCAGAAAACACTAAACTGAATTTTGTTGAGCTTGTATACTGCGTCGAAACCACGTGAACGGGTATGTTGAGAAACGGCCGAGAAAAATGCAATAAAATACGGTTGACAAGAGCAAACATATCGATTAGTAATGCATTTATCATTAAGGAAATTGATATTTTAAAACTGCTAAGTTGTTTATATTATATGCATTTCATTTCAAATGCCATGGTAATAGAAATGAATAAATTCCTGAAAAGTATGAAAGGGAAAGGGATTTTTGGAAAAGTGTATCAAAATATAGTATGAACGACGCGCTCTATAAGAATCCAGAATTAGAATATTTATCGAAACTGAATTATAAACAAGTCACAACATCGGATTTTTCTTAATCCATTACACACATTTTTTTAATTTATGATGCATTGCATTTCTTGATGAATTTTATCTACGTAACATAAAGTAGCGCTAATAGTCTTAATTTATCTTAATTTATCATAGCGATAGCGATAGCGATAAGAATCACGATCAATTTTATAGCCGAATTTCTCATTTGTACATCGGCGGCTTTCTAAAGTACTTTACATATCTTTGATAGGTCTTTATTACATTTTATTACATTCAAAGAAATATTAAAGAAATAGTTTTTTTATATAAAAAGTACTTCAATTGATAAAACAAAAAAAAATTGCCATTAACTAACTTTCGTGTGCGTGCCAAGATCATTGAGACCGAATAGGATCTTTGAAGTTAATACGTAATAATAAATAGATAATAAAATTACATAATTTATCACATCAAATTTACTTATTAACTTTGTAACAAACATTTAACACTATACATAAAACATTAATGCAGTTTTTTTCAAAGAAAATTCTATTTTTGTGTTTCTCTCTTTTCCAAGAAGATTACACAAATATTGTTCCGGGAATTTTCTTCAAAGAGGTAAATGGGGTAGTTTGTTTATCCCGGAACGACTATATTCATGTTGTATCTCGTTAAATAATTTTTAATTTGTTAGCTTTTCTAGTTTTTTCCAGTAACACTTTGTTAAGACAAAGTGTGACCATGTGGCTCGAAATTGAAATTTACCCGAATATTAAAAGCTTAATACAAGATTTAATAAATATCAAGAACGAAGAGAATAAGAGAAATGAGATGCATGATGCAAGAATGCCAGTTTCCAGTGGATATGGAAATAGCATCTAATTATCAGCAGATGCAAGTTCTGCGAACATTCATTTCCGAAATAAACCGACAATATTAAATAGACCGTAAAAAAAAATTATATACATCAGGTTAAATCATGCTTAAAGGTAAATATGTATATATATATATATATATATTATTTTTTCACATTATGTTCGCGAAGTTAAGCTTAAAATTATTGACTTTTCCAAAATTTTTGTTTGTCAAACAACCATTAAAAATTTCGAAACCCTTGCAGTAAATATTGACGCGGGTAAATTTAATATGTAACGAACTTTTCTTCAGTTAATAAATGGTAGCAAACTGTCGTGATCAGAATTCCAAATAATAGTACTTGCAGCTCATCACAATATTTCTTTCTTAAATATTTGTTAACTTCCTTCACATCATTTCATTTCATTTTCATTTAATTTCATTCATATAATTTATTTCATTCATTTATTTTTATTTTTTTTTATTTTTTTACTCATTTTGTATTTATTATTATGGGTAATCCTCAATCGAAAAATTCTGTTTGTACAGCGATAAAACCATCTGCCACTTATCGTTATATTGATGGTCGCCGATTTCAAAATATCGAAAATACAAGATATTTAATGCCAGATGATGACGAAGAACTTGATCGGTTACAACGTCAACATTTCTTATTTCGATATCTTTGGGATTCTAATTTTTCGGCTCCAATTAATGACATATTACGAGACAAAAAATGTGAAGTTTTAGATGTTGGGTATGTTTTTTTTTTTTCTTGAAGGAAAAAAAAAGTATTTTACTATATTTATGCAATTTTTCTTTTTTTTCTTTTTTTTTTTTTTCCTTGTCTCAGTTGCGGGCCCGGAGCATGGCTAATGGAGTTAGCTCATGACTACCCCCGCTCAAATTTCATTGGAATTGATTTAGTAGCAACATTTCCATCTCAGGTATTTTAAAGAAATTATAATTTCTTTAATTTTATAAAATAAGCTTTAAATAACTTGATTATTTTCTAGATAAAACCACCAAATACCACATTTATCCAAGGAAATGTTCTTAATGGTTTACCATTTCCTGATAATTTCTTTGATTTTGTACACATGAGACTTTTGGTTAGTTCTTTTTCAGAAAGTGAATGGGAAACTGTTATAACTGAATTAATTCGAGTAACGAAACCTAACGGATGGATAGAATTGTAAGAAATCACGTATTTGTTATCGCTATATTTTTTATTATATTTGGGCCTAACAAAAACAACAATAGATGCGAAACAGATTTTCGATGGTTTAATGATGGTCCAATGTCAAAAAAATTAACTATGGCTTGTAAATATTTATTAGTATTTTTTTTTTTACTGTGTTAGATTATCAATTTGTGTAATTCCCAATATGTTAATTTTTTTCTAGTACGCAAAATGATTGAATCAAGAGGTGCGGTTGGTATTGTAACACCACTAATTCACAATATATTAAAGAATCATCCTTCTCTAACCAACCTTCAAGATGAATATAAAGAGCTACCTTTTGGAAGCTGGGCTGGAAGGTTTGTTTTGCTTCTTTCGTTTCACGAATTTATTCACATTTATATGCTAATTATATATATTATCGTTATTACCAGGTTAGGTGAAATTGCTAATGAAGAATGCTTGGTATGTATCATGATTATCATTATCAAAATCATATATCATTTTTAAACATTTATAACTAAATTTTTTTATAGGTTGGAGCGTTAAGTGGACTTTCTACCGAATTATCATCGATCATGGATGTTAGTCAAGAAGAATATACCAATATTCTAAAATCACTTGGCGATGAAATGACCAATTATAAAGCATTCTCTCGAAATCACAGAATTTACGCACGTAAATTTTGATTTGGTGTTACGTCAACTTTATCCTTTTTTTTAGTTTGGTATTTACTTTGAACAGGTTTTATTGTATGCCAAAACTTTTTTGATTTCCCATAATATAAACAATATATAAACAGCATAAACATTATAAAAAAAAAAGGAAACCAAAAAAAAAATGGGAATAACCTAAGATATTTTATACGAGAAAACAAATGCACTACAATATCTGTTAATTCTTTTTAGAATATTAACAGATTGATATCTAAGAATTTAACATATATATTTGTTATCAGTTTAGGTTTAATTGAACTAGACGATTAACAAAAAAAAAAAAAAAAAAGAGAGAGAGAGAGAAAAAATTCATGATTTTTTAGTTTGGATCTTAGCCTAAGTTATATTGTACTGCAAATTATATATATCGAAATTTTAAAACTGCCATGGATTTTGCAATATTATTATCATTAATGTATATCTCATGTTGCCGACTAGTTTATAATTTTTAAAAGAATAAGATAACTTTTAAAAGACTTTAAATGTAGTCTACGACTTTAATCAGTGCTCTCGAATGACTTTTAAATTATCAAATGTAATTTTTTTTTTTTTTTAGTATATAACTAATAATATATATATTGTATATTATACGTAGTATAATAAACTTGTAAATTAATTAATATTTAAGCCTTCTAAGTTCAATAACTTTAAAAATGTCTTCTAAATGGTTCAAATTCATTTCAAAATGCAAATGACCTGGTCATTTGAGAAGACTCAGGAACTATTATCTGCATACGATGTATACGATGTCTTATACGTGAGTACCAATTGTAATTTCATTATGTAACAAATCGTCCATAAATAATTGCTCCAGTCTTAACCAATCGAGATGCCTCGCGAATAAATTATTTGAATAGCCTTCAAGGGAAAACCTGCCATCAGGCTTTCAACTATATTTTGCCAATTACAAATCCGAATTGTATGTCACGTTAATACGTGCTGATCAGATTTTTCATGGATGAATCCGAGTCTGGAGCGAAATATAATTGAAACTTGATGACAGGTTCTTCTTGACGGAATATATAAGAGCGGATACTAACGTCAATGCACTTGATAATCAGACTACGCACTTCTTTGTGTTGTATTATAGATGATTCCGATCCCAAGATAAATGATAGCTTTTAAGCTATTTTTCAGGCAAATTTTTTTAAAAAATACCGTAAAACTCAGAAAATAAGTACCCAACCCTCTACCCTGCTTTTTTCAACCTCAGATTAGCGGAATAACTTCAGTAAAGATTTTATTACTATCTCTGCTAATCTGAAGTTGAAAAAAGTAAGGGTTTATTTTCTAAGTTTTACGGTATATAAAAAAGTATTAATGATATGAGGCATATGTTATTACAATTAAGGAATATATCAATTTGAACGATATAGATAGATTACACTTTCTATGAGGTGGTATCTTACAAAATTGAATGATTGTATTCTATCATATTTTTCTATATATTACTTGATACTAGCTATCTATTCAATGCACATTATGCCTACCCCTCTTAGCTCTACACCTGATACGATCGACCTAGATGCATTTTATTTACAATATTCCAATAGATTTGGAATTTCAATCCAGAAAGATGAACCACAACACTTCGTCTTACAGCAGTTAATTTTCAGCCTACCCAATGCTATACAAAGAAACTTCGCTATATTAAGATCACTATATACTCTTTTCAATCTTCTCTAATCTCATCTATTGTTAGATGCTTCTGTGGAAACCATAATACACACTTTATTCAAAACTCATCAACCAAATATCAACTTCCCTTTCACACTTTTGCTAGAACCTTGAATTAGGAGTTTATGGTACAATCTATATATCTATACTAGTTTCTCTAACCATTCTTAATGCAAATGTTTATAAAAGTAATAAAGAAATTTGAAAATATTTTAGTAACGATGAATGCTTTAATGTTTATTGTTGAAATCGTTATGTTAATGCATGTTGACAAGCATCAACAGATTGAAAAGAAAGGATAGAACTGGTTAGGGTTACACGCCACGTGCTACAACCTCCTGCACCCAATCGATCATAACAAGAGAGCATGAGTCGTGATCAGAGAAGAGAACAATGTTAAGTCGCATGAATTAATAAGCAGATATATATATATATAATAGAAAAGCCACAGATTATAATCGATATATAAAGAACCGACGAAAAGCCGATTTCGACACTCTTTCCCACTTCAACAAACAAAATTTCTTGACCTAACCCTTCCCGCCACATATGATAGTCTTCTAATTCTGCTATTTTCATATTTAACAGCCGGCTGCTTCGAGCAGGCAGGATGATGCTGCTTCTCGCTCGTTCTATTGTTACTGGCGCAATCTCACTTGCTAATTTCTGGGAGTATATCATCGTTCCAGTTTGAATTACTTGGCTAAAATTACTCATAACATATTCTGTCGACACCTTTGACTAGCCAGCATTCATCCAATCACATAATCAGTCATACCTATGCTTTCGTCAAGTTAGAAAGAGGTCACAGGTAAAACAATAACTCTTTTCTGTAAATATTCTTTAAAAATCTTTGATAACTTTTCTAAATATTTTTTAACCGTTTCTTAATAATTTAGAATACGTGTGAAAGCATGGAAAAGACTTAGATAACGTAGAAAATATTTGGAAAAGCCGCATAGCGTACCAAAGGTTTTTAAAGAATACCAATAGAAAAAATTCATTGTTTTACTAGTGGGTATTTGAGTTTTTTTTTAGTCTTGGTTTGCATAGTTATAGGCGTATTATTGGCTATATTGCTACCAATCTTTTTTTTCAAAATATTATCAGCAACAATAATTTTTTCGTTGAAGCTGGTGTAATAACTAGCCGTATTCTTATTGGATGGTTTGAAATGCGAATTTAATACTTTGCATAAAAAAATAAATTTGACACCTGAGTTGTGATTTTCAGATGGCCAATCTAGGTGGATGCCTGTTTTTTTCCTTTACTTAGGAATTGGAATTTAAAACCCAAATCCAAATAGATATCCCATTTTTAATAATATGGTCAAACTCAAATTTATTAGATTAGTATATAATAAATTATCTTTTATTTTGAGAAAAATAATATATAGTTATTAGACGTGTACATAAACCAGTCAGTAACTGCAGTTATTTGTCAAAATTTTTGACGGATAGTTTATCAGTTATTGGTCACGTAGCAGCCAATAACTGCTTATCCGCCAACAATTTTGACGAATAATGCAGTTATTGGTCGTTCACACGTCTAGTAACGATATTATCCTTTGTCTACAACAATTTGCATATCGTTAAATAAAAAAATAACTAAAACTAGAAACTCAGAATCTGATGTAGGTCCGAAGCGAAATATGTGTATTTAATTAATCTTGACATTTTGAAAACAATCCAGGATATTGTATGCAGCGCTGTACGGTATGTAATGCTTTTAATTTAATTAATTGGTGATGCACTGCGTTATAAATAAACTTTTCTTAAAGTGACTTAAATTCCAAAACAATATACTCGATAAAATAATTTAGAATCCACTTAATTTGATTATAAGTTAAATTGAATTCCTTAACAATACGAATAGTTTTTTATCACAACCTATGTATATTTGAATCAACTTATGTTGAGTTCCATTCAACCCATTCAGGGTTGTCAGGTGGTAATTACCATTGGTAAATTACGGTAATTTACCAGGTAATTTACCGAAAGTGTGGTAAATTTACATTATATACTTAGATCTGCAAATTATATACTTTGATTGGCTAAAAAATTTTTAGCCATCAAATCACATGATTTATGTTGTACAAATTTTGTTATTCAAAATAACTAAAGGTAAATTTTTACAAAATTACGGTAATTTAACAACCCTGGTTCCATTCCGACGTACACAACATGGATACTCCAAAATGGTGGAATTTACTATTATAATTGAATACGTAATACTGTTAACTAGGGATTGGAACCGCCTAAAATTTTTTTTAATCGTTTAATCGTTTAACCGTTTAATTTGGCCGGCATTAAAATAATTCCAGCCCACGGCCAACATAATTCCGCCCGGAACTATGGAGCAATTTTTAAACGGTTAAACCGTTCCAATCCCTATTGTTAACCCCTGTAGTTATTATCATGTAACAAAACAGTGATTATTTTTCGCTGTGCGGACTGTGCGCAGCACACAGAAACAAAATGGCGCACATTTTCCTTTGAACAGATGTGCGGATGCCGCACAGAAAAATTACATTTTGTAAGTAGTGCGCACACTTGTAAATAGTTGCTGACAGTTTTTCTTGATTTGCCGCACAGAAAAGTTTCTAAATTGTGCGGTATCCGCACAGTAAATTTTAACTGAAAAATTAACACTGTGACATAATAACCATGCAAGGGACGCTGTAGTAGCACTAGTAGCGATAAGAGCGCGACGCCCCTAGTTCTCCCACAAAAAATTGTTCACCCTGTAATTTTGACCAATCGAATCTCAGGATCAGTTGTAACGTAAAAATAATAACTCTAAATTTGATTGGGAAACCACCTTCTGCGGCCTAATTAAAAATGTTCCTCGTGATGTTTTACTAATAGGTGTTATATAGTTGTAATCCTAACCCTAATTATAACCCAGATTTCTTGGTTTTCATTTTACGCGTAACTTTTTTACTTAGAAAACAAAACACGTTTGTTTTGACACCTGACCTTAAATTTTGATTGGTCAAAATTAGGAGAACGCTACCTAAAATATAATAGCGCTAGTAGCGCTAATGCTTTCTTTTAAATTTAGTGATTCTAGTAAATTTATAGTTTATAAAAATAGTAACAGAAATCGAAGGTTCAAAAGGCATAAATAGACTTAAATATTTCTCTTGTAAAAGACAGAACTCGAAGTTCCAACAACACCTTCCCAATAAATAAAGAGTAATCGTGTCTTCACACACGAATAGCTCGAATACTTTATTGAATAAATCCTAACTCTGTTATAGTGTCTTCATACACGAATAACTTGAGTATAATAAATAAACTTGTTAATACGACTATCTGTATCTTCATATACTGTACATTTAGCCGTTTGCCTCCTTCGTAATTGCAAATCAATCCTCTTAAAAGCATAACCGCAACTAACCATATATTTTACTTAGCATAAATCGGAATTTGTTACTAATTCTCTAATATATATCCGTCGTTAAAAGTAATCGTTATACCGAACTTCTAAGAGGTCGTTTCGGATGTAACAATACTAGAGTTGCTGATGAAACTGGTGACTATCTAAAATCTGATTGGCTATTGAATGCAATGGCCAATAAGATTTTAGATAGTCACCAGTTTCACCATCACAATTTAATTTCACCAGCAACTCTAAACAATACTCAATACTACTTAAAGGAAATACTTTTCAAGGGAGTACTGTATGTAGAGATGCGATCCGTTATCTATTTTCGTCCCGAATTAAAGCCAAAAACAGATAACGGATCGCATCTCTAACTGTATGCAGCGCTGTATGGTACTAAATAGCGATTGTTTGATTACCATTTTTTTCCATTACTACTTGCGGAAATAAATTATGTTCTTTACAAGAACACAGTTCAAACAGTGTGAACTTTTTTATATCATAACTAGAAACATGATCGAAGTCAGACTCCGAAACGGGAAGTTCAAGTCCTTTCAAGTTTTCTGCACTGTGATTATAATTGGAAAAAATGAATAAACAAAAAGATATAAAATAATCTTACATTGATTAACTTACTATGTAACGACAGCGCGTCTGATAGTAGCAACGATCACCTTTTTCTTGATTACTTTCTATTATTTCTGGAGTCAATTTATTGATTGCATCAATAATATTCTCATCCTCATTTTTTGTTACTCTTTCTTCTTCATTAAAAAAATATATGGCAACATCCGGTATATCCGATTTAACTAATTTCACATCATTTTCAAAGCTTTCCTTTATTTCTTTCCAGTCGTCTGTTGAAAAAAAAGATTTTATTAGGGAATCTTCGGTCAAGTCAAGAATGTTCCACTACAAGAAAAAAATCCGTGATTAACATAGTCATCACTAACATCCATGATATTTGACAATATAATAAACTCACTTCAAACATTTTTGAGCCTCAGGAATAGTATCAATGTATTTGCTAATTCATCTCTAACGTTAGTGGACCCACGATCGACAAGTTGTTGACGTTAGTTCGGATTCTTCCACGCATCGTTCTGCGAAGTGAATATTATCACTGCCGTTGTTGATGTACCGTTGCGAATTTTGTCATTATTCCCCTTGTCCATAAAGAATTCGTCAATTTCATCTATGCACTCCTCTTCCTGATCATCATCTTCACTCGCATCTGGATCTGGATTGGAATTCACGTTTTTTACTGAAGATTTTCTCTGTAATAAAAATTACCAAACCTTTTTAAGCATACTCGTTGAAACTTATTGATTTGTTTTTGAAAAATATGACCAGTTTATCTTGTTTAATGCCAACGTATTAATCACTCCGTGAAGATTAAGATTAGTATTGCGTACATCACGACGAACTAATATCTATATACAAAATTTGTCAACGTTAAATCAAACCATCTAATGGTTAGTAACTGGACATACCGCTGCTTTTTGTTGCATCCATGTTTCCCAGTCTTTTAAAATTCTTGCGTCCTGTCAACAAATAGAGCACAGAGTTAGATGATAGAAACTAGCACTTCATTCAATTACGTACATTCGCCGATTTTTTCATTTCTCCTAATTTATTACGCAACGTTTCATCATCGGTTTCTTCCAAAGCAAGGTCGAGCGCTTTCTTATACTTTCCTGATGATTGAATTCGATGAGATGGGAATGTAGATCGAAAAAATTCAAGTGGGTTGGATCAGGAGTGGATAACATCCAGTAAACGTGTCGTTCTTGCTAGGTTATGTTTGTGGACTTTGACTTTCCCATTATCAGCTTAGAAATAAGAAAAATATTTAGATCAAAGCAAATAAGATAAAAAACCAAAGTGAGTTGTTCTTCATATAAGGCCGGCCACCAACTATTACGGTGACTTGCCAGTACTGGCTTCCGACAGTCTCCCTCTGTCGCAGACGCCTTATGTGTTAAACAACCCTCCAGTAACTCTAAGCGAAGAAATCAGCCGGTCATCAACTATTACGATGACTTGCCATTGCTGGCTTCCGACAGTCTCCCTCCGTCGCAGACGCTTCCTTCTTGCTCAGTAGAGCTACGGTTTATAAGGAGGAAGAAAGACAATTACTTGGCTTATCTTAACTAATAATAAGTTATTTTTAAGTTGCTCATACATTCATATTTTTTGAAAATCTTTCGTTATAAAAACGCAGGTGATACATTTTTAAATAGGTGCCTACTTATTTGTGCGAGTGATAATTTTAGGTGGCGTTCCCACAAAAAAATTGTTCATCCCCAGTAATTTTGGCCAATCAAAATTTAAGATCAGGTGTCAAAACAAACGTGTTTTGTTTTCTAAGTAAAAAAGTTACGCGTAAAATGAAAACCAAGAAACCTGTGTTATAATTAGGGTTAGAATTAGAACAATGTAACGCTTATTAGTAAAACACCACGAGGAACATTTTTAATTAGGCCGCAGAAGGTGGTTTCCTAATTTAGAGTTATTCTTGTTTGTAAAAAAATGGGTGGGTTCGTTTCGATTTTACAATTGGTCAAAATTACAGGGGTGAACAATTTTTCGTGGGAGAGCTAGGGCGTCCTCACAGAAGTACAAACAATTCACGAATAGGAAGAAAATAGGAACGATAACTGTGTTAATAAGGATATTCTATAGAATAAGTGGGCAATATAAGAAATAAGCTTCGCTAATGATTAGTAATAATTAATTTTTTAATTGCGGAGTTTGCCCACCTATTCTATAGAACATCCGCAACGTCTCTCTAAATGCAACTCCGAACACTGGCTCAAATATATACTTGATCTTTATAATTGCAAAAATTTTTACTTATTTTTAATGTATATTTTTCAAATTTGGTCCCTACAAATTGCATTTAGAGAGGTTTGATTATATAATCTCTCATGATTTTGATATAGTGATCAGAAGATTAAGATTATAGTCCCTGATCAGGATCAATATTTTGTATATGAACATCAAACTCGAATTTAACTGTACAATTTATTTTACTCACTAGTGAAAAAAGGTTAAGTCTAATATAAACCAGACAACAAATCAGATACTGTATATATCTTGAGATACATCTGAATGGCAAATAAAAAGTTACGGCAATAAAGATGGTTACGTCAAATGTTTTTTTTAATAAGAATTTGATTTTCTACAACAATCAATTTAGTGGATAATCATTTATTAGTTGAAGTCCATATAATTTAATTTAAATTCGAATCCATTTACCGTATAAAGACCTTTTTAATTCTATTTCATTCATGAGAATAAAAATTATCATCCGGCTTCTGTAAAGTTTACTTGTATAAATATAGCGGTGGGCATAATGATTGTTTATTAATTACGTATTAATAATGTATTTAATAATTTGTTAGTATAGATTTTTGTCAAATCTTATAGTAAATCAAACTACATTGGCGTATGTCTGCATCTATAGACATGACTAATCTACCTTTGACATTACAATGATAAAATTATCTGTAGAACAAGTATGATATTACATGTGTCCCAGGATTTATGAAAAGTTGTAATATGTGTTATGCGTCATTTCTAAATTCAGATTATTAATTGACGTGTTATTTTCAATTTTCACGAAAAATGACTCGAGTCAATCCTAATGCAGATCGTGACAGAATTATTATTATAAATATCGGTATAAGATTGATAATACATATTATATTGAATCAATAAAGATAAATCGAGTACAATAAATTGAATTCATATGCTTCTTTTATCGCCCAACTCATAATATTCAAGAACACCCTATTCATAATATTTAAGGATACAACTCATAATATTCAAGAAAATACAGCTTATGATCTTCAAGAACATGCGGCTCATGATATTTAAAGTGTACAACTCATAATGTCCAATCACACACAATCCAGAATCAATAATCAAGAATGTCCATTTTTCGAGGATATGCTAATCAGTGACATATAATATGTAGTTGAAAGCATATACACTAAATGATAGTGAAGTTTATTTTGTCGCACTCAATAACTTAAGAAAACTTGAACTAGATAACACAAACAAGAAACCTAATTGCCATACTTAATCCTCAGTATAATCACCAAATTATCACAATTAAAATCAGATTATTATAATTATTAACAAAATGAAAAGATACAATTTTGAGATAATCAAATTTATTTCAGGTAATCTTGTACGTACATACGTGCGCATCTCTTTTTATGCCAATCGTCTAGAAATGTACTAGCAAGCATCGAATTTTATCCGAAATTTATTCGAAATTATCCGAATTTTACTTGGAGGCAGTTTAGGCTTTTTTTTACTGCACGGTCTATACAGGACCATAATAAGATTATTTTAATAAATTTATTATAAAATTTTTTAAATTGATAGAGCTTGGAATCGATGAGTTTCGAGCATTGATTGGTTATAAACTTAAGATTTTCAAAAGAATTTAATATAACATTAAATTTATCAATTGTACTATCGTCGCTACATTACTTATGGCGGTTTGCAAAAAGGTGTGACCATGATGACATGTAAAATTACGAGAAATCAGAGGATTCTAGTAAATTTTTCAATTCTTAGAGATTTCGAATAAATATAGATGTTATTGATTGAAAAGTATGATCAACAGGGAATTTAAAATCTCAGAACTTTCTCTGCGATCATCACAAAATCACAGGGCCTTTCTGCTTCCAAACGATAAGTATAAATCATGCGATTAAAATAAATTGTACATAGAACATCTTTTAGAATTCTCTAAGATCGAAATTATATTCAAGCATAGTAATGAACTCAATACACTTTATCATCCTTATTGAAAAATGAAATTACATAAAACCCTACAACTTCAAATTCAACAACGTATATCTTGTTGATGTGTAACACTGTTTTAACAGTGCGTACGTACGTATCAAATTGTATTTATTTAACATTTTATAAAAGGGTCTGCATCGTATGACAATATGTTCTGTTGCTGAGAATTATACAGTATTTAACGAAGTCAAAATTCTATTAATATAATCATAGGTATGCAATAAGTAAAAATTCTTCGGTATCAATTTTACATTATCTCCAGTTTAAAAAATTCACTAAAATTATTATACATGAAACTAAAGAGTTTTTCAAATGAAATTTTGGCATAAATGCATTTCTAAAACTCCAGTTATGCTTAATGATAGGTTTGTTGGGAGAAATAAACGAAATTATGCAAAACATTTTTTTTTGTTAGTATGCGATGATTTCTTAGATCAACTTTTGAGTTTAACTAAAAAAAAAACCATTCACATTATATCTTACTCTGTGACTAATACTGAAAACTGTGGGAGAAATTATTAAATTCTGATCTATGCTTATTTGTTTAAAGTGTACTTTTAACATGATGAATTTTATCGAAAATGCTTCGGCATACCAAAAATACTTTGTAGTCGCACGTGCCAATTAAATAAAATCTTGAAGTGTTTGGCAATACCATATTATTGTACAATAAAACCCCAGAGCATTATTTCGAGATTTAATGAGAGCTAAGATTTAATTAGCCAAGTGCAAGCAATAATTTGATTTTTTTAAAAAAATTTCAACTGAATTTCTCCTTAATTGGTGTCTCGAAATAACTTCCTGGGCATAATCTTTATATAAAATGCAATTTATTTAAGTTCTCAAATCAAAAATCACGTGTTCATAAACAATTGGTATCGATAACTGCACAGTACGTACTGTACAATTTCGAAATATAGCAAAAGTAATATATAGTTAATGCTAAGGAATACGAAGCCTGGTTTCCCTTAGCATTACTAGTACAAAGTCTTCATTTTCCAATACGCATCACATAATGCATCTATACAGTATATTGTTTGTTGCTTAGTTCGCTCTGTGATTGCATTAGGATGAGGAAACACAGGATCACTATTGCAAGATAAACTAAATACGCATAAGAGTTAAGAAACGTTGGTGTTCTCAACTGTAATGAAAGGGCTTCCGAGATAAGTAATTCTGTTGGATTCATAACTAGAGATAATAAGATCATATAATTGTAGATTTGCATCTCTAGCATGAATATTTTTCCAATGACAATTCTTTATCATTGATTAATGCCTTTATGACAAGGTTTCTCTTAATTTCAATTGGAAAGATGATTTTTCCATCATTATTTGCAAATACTCGACAATCTGGTATATCCCAGACAATTATTGGGTCGTCATTGTTAAAGTCAGAATTTTTTGTTTCAAAATTCGAAGTATGGCCCCATGAGAATGTTCAATATGTGACAAAGAATAACTTCTATAATAGCCTCGACATCTGACTCAACTCGTATTTTTAAGCCTTCGGTAACTTTTGGTTCCTCGAATTGATTTAGTTCGTTATCAAAATTAAACTTAGTCACATTATCTAAAAATCCATTCCGGCGTCTTATTCTTGATGGTGGCCAAATCCCACCTAAAAATGTTACACATTTTGAATTGCTGACATCAGAAGCATGTATTGCAATCGGAGGAACATAAGATAATGCACCTTAAATGTGCAAAAAATTTTTTTTAAGTAGTATACAAAAAACAAGGGAACTTAAAATATAAAATATATATATATAGACTTACATGAAATTATACGAACGCTTAAAGCACAAACACGAATAAATAAGCCACGAAAATAAGTCGATGAATTAACGCGCGAAATTACACGTATTATTAAAAAAAAAAAACAACGTGGTGCTTATTTTCTGAGTTTTAAAATCTTTTATAAACATGTTCATATTACAATATTGGTAATTATGCATGCAGATCACGAGTACGTGACATAAAAAAAGGGGTCTTACCAATTCGGGGGTCGTCTGAAGCGGAGCAGAATCATGTGATATATGTCCAATCAAATTATAGAATTTTGTGATCACCGGCGAAGCAAAAAACGAAGCCCCTGAAAAATACAGTCTAACCCTACCTCGGGTGGGTTAATTAATATCGAGAAGCAATTTGGTTTATACAGTATATAACCACCTCAAACCTAATCTAACTCTAATATAAAATGACCCTAACACTAAAGTTAATTCAATAAAATATATATATATTATAAGAATCTACTCTGCTTTTAGACGTCCTCTTTTTTGGGTAAACAACATATAAACAAATGGTAAAAATCGTAAAAAAAAAAAAAGGCTAACTTCGTGTTCAAGATTCTTTTGGGGTTTATTTTCAAATTCAAGAGAATTTGTGAAATGATACCTAGAAATTAAACCGATAACATCTTTATTGTACTTATAAAATTTGGATGCGTCGATCATATTAAAAATTTTACACAAATGATCGTGACATCTGGACCAAACTGAACTGTTAGTTATAATACTAATAAGGATGATCAGAAGTATAAATACTAAATAGGTTTTAAAACAGGTTAGACCTTACTATATAGATAAAGTTTATCTTGAGGATAAATTAGTTCTAAGTCTACAAAATCTGTAAATTATCACGGGAAAAGTGCTGTAATACTAATAAAAAATGATGATAATGAGTATACGACCAAGAGATCACTTTCAAAAACTAAAAAAAAGAACCTTAATAAGTTATCCTGAACTACGAATCAGATTTCAAAATTAGGTGTACCGCACGATCAGGACAAACGCTCGTTCCGCCAAAAATCGCTCATAGCTCAAAAATCAGCATAAAAACCACCTTTTGTGCTCTAACAAAATGGTTTCGTTGAACAATTTTACTATATAAATATCTCTCTCTAGATCCTAGTCCTGATCCCTTAACAAATTTTAAGAATTTTGTCTGGTCGCCAACCTTGTACACATTTTCGGTAACATCCCTAATGATATCATATGAAAGTTGGCAGATTTTTTGATTCTCAAATAATTTTAAACATGGCATCAGTAGTCCTATAAAAAATGTTAATCAGTGTTTATTATTCCATGTTTTTCCATGAATGTTTCATTTTCATGGAATTTATAACCTTAAATCATGGAAATTTTCATCTCCCTAACACGGATTTCCGTAAATGTATCATTTTCATGGAATTTTTACGGGGGCCACGGAGAAATAATGGAAATTCGGATAAAAATTTTTTATAGGGTAGTCGAAGCGATTATCTAATGGATAGATTAGTCATGCAACCAAATTCAGCAACCAACCAAATTTAGAGTCGGTATAAGCCGAAGCTGGACTCTCATTAAGCAATAATATGTATTCTTACCTAACGTACTTTTTTTTATAACGTTAAATATTTAATTATTTGTGATGACAGTCCGGACTCGTGAAGACCGGTTAAAAGGCTGGCTTTCATTCGGCCATTTTGGTACCGATTCACCCCTACGCATTATCCTTTAAGCAGGAACTGTATATCCGTAATGCATTGATCAAAAAGCCTGGGGTCTAACACAAAATACCCAAGAACTTGCAAAAGAACTGGGTATATGATGCTATTACGCGTATGTGTTGCAAGAAAAAAAATTTTCTAATAGGCAAACCAGAAATTTTAAAAACATTCACATTAATTAATAGAAACTCCCGTGTTTAAATTGCCAATTATTAAATTTATTGTTACGGCTGATGTGAAAATTGGACCTATTTTGATATTAAATTTTGAAAAATTTTGGGTTATTTTTTACCGCTTTTTTTTTTAGGGTTAGATTAGGATTTAGGGTAAGAATTTATAATTAAATTGTAAAAATCGAGACCTCAGCCGCAACATTTATTATCATAACAGGTTTATAAATATATGATAAATGTTTAATGATACAGTAATAACAATTATGCCTTCTATCTTCAAATATTATTCAACTTAATGATTCAAACTTTCGACCCGGTGAGTAAAAACCTAGTCATAAAATTGAGAAGACTGGTTAACCAAAAATATCAATTATAAAATCAAAACTTTTCTTACCATTTACTACGACAATCAACTGCTTCCTTTCTAACCAATCGTTTTTTATCATCTAAAGCTTTCCCTAGCTCTTTAATAACCTTTTCTTTGAAAGGGTACAAAACATCATATGGTATTGTGTCTGGAAATGTACCCAGGCATTGCAAAGCAGCAGTACGAACTTTCTATGGTCATAATAAAGAACAATATTATATATATTCTTACGTAAGTAAATATAACATTGAATTATGAATTGCCTTACCATTGTATTAATGTCTGTCATTTGTGCTAGTGACAATAATAAGGGTATTAATGAGGAAATATGTTCAGATATTATATGTGGTGCATCAAACGAAATAATATAAAATGTGTCGATGGTCGATGCTCTCAAATTGGAATCGGCCAATGATAGAGAGTGTATGAGCAAAGGAAATAACTGTTAATATTAAAAAGAATGTTATTAATACTATCGGTTCTCGGATGTGAATGTAATAAAGTATAGCGTACCGAAGGAAGGTCACCCATTAAAACTTGTTTTGGAACGTTTCGTAATAAATATGATAAGGCCATCAAGTAATTATGTTTTGTGTCTAAATAACGTAAAAATTTTTAGGAAATGAAAAAAAATTTAATGGCATCAAAATTTACAAATACAGTCGTCCTCCCAAACAATCACAGTTGGGCATATAGTAAATTTTTTTAAATTTTTTTTTCAAAATGTGCTTATAAAGAAGTTGTGCTTATATGAAGGTTTTTTTCTTATAAATAGTTTGGCCTAAACATAAATGTAATTACATATTATGTGATTATATGGGAGGTAACTATATGGAGGGATGACTGTACCATCATCCGAAGATTTGAAGCGCTCTATTGTTATAGGTACGCAATAATTAAAGAACCGTTGCTTATAGAGAATCTATATTATAATTTGTCATTAGTACGTGATGAATCTAAATTAAAATTCAGATCATAAATTACAAGAATGTATACCTTCACGACCGCAAATCCCTGTCGACTTAAGATTTCATTCTCACCAATAATAATACTAATACCTTCAGCACATTGTTTGCCCAAAGTAGGATCGCTAAATAGATTTATGACTTTGCCAGTACAATCATAGCCAAGTTGATGCGTGCGTAACACTAATGCCTTGGTGAGCTGATAATTACAACACTGTTAGCTTTATTTCAGCGTTAGCAAATGTGATTGAATTCAATATACAAAAATGCCTATAACTCACCCAAAGAAAGAGATATAAAGACTTACGTCTAGTAGTTTCTAACCCAGATGCGGAAGATAGTTGGTCTAACAATTCACCAAGAACTTGTTCTCGTATAAATTGCATTAATTCAGGTTCTATAAATTAAAATACCTATTAGTATCATAATATTATTAAATCACATATAGATAAAAACTATTGTTATTTATTTACCTTGATCCCACTTATTTAATATTGAAGCAGCTAACTGAGCCAAGGAATCTTGCTGTATTTCGTTTGTAGTATATAAGCAAATCCTAACTATCTTTGTCAGGAATTCAAATATATCTGATAATGTAGATTGGACCTAATTCGCAAGGTTGTCAAATTGTGGCTGATTAGACCCATTAGACTTATAAAAAAAGCAGTTTGACATAAAGTCTACTAATATTTTGTTTTCATTAGATATTGTCTGAGTAACAATACTGTAATTCGGATTTAACCTGCAAACCCAGTGACTCATATTAAATATATTATTATGCTAGAACCAAATGCATACCTCTTGCCGAATATATCCTATAGCGGCTGTGAAACATAAGGTTAGGTTCTTCTGGTACGAACTTGATTCTAACTAAATTCACAAAACACATCAAAAACGTAAACAATTTTGTAGAACATTGAAAGAATTACATTAAAAACCCACTGCTAACGGATTGAACGGAACGTTTGTTTCAGATAACAGGGACTGAAGATAACTAGTATTTCCTTGTGTGAATAGTTCAAATATTTTGCCGATAAATGCAGTTTGTTCACTATATAATATGAAGATAAATAAATATCTATGGCATAATTATCATATCTGAATACAACGAAATAACATACCTCGTATTTAGACTCCTTGTTATTGTAGAAATTATTCCAGCGACAACTCGGATAATTCGTAAGTCACAAAATACTGAATATTCGCAATCAAAACTTAAGGTAGGTTCTATACATCTAACAAGAAGATGCGGTATAATGATATTCACATAACGCGAAATATCAGCGTGACTTAAAGACAGTTTCTTTAGAAATATAGAATGAAGCGCCTGTAGAATTGCTTCAGTATAGTCGCAATTCGTACTAGATAAAGCTGAATACCAAAAATACATTAAAAAAAAATGATGGTTTGTTCATACTAATGTGGAGCCCAATCCACTTACGTGAAAGGACATTGTTCAATTTTGCAAGAATTTCAGGTACTAAAGCCTCAAATAATATTGGTTCTGCCGATATTTTGGAGATAGAGTCTAAAATTTTATTATAGTTTGTGTAAGACCCCTTGTTTATAACATCACCAATGTTTGGAAGTTTAGACACAAATATGGGAAGCGTGACATCTAATACAATTTTCGGTTTGTAATGTGCGATATTTTCCAAATATTCTAAAGCCGGCGATCTATGAAATTTACAAATTGTTAGTTAAGCCTATCACAAAATCCTAATAGCTATCATTAGGTTAAGACATACACAATGTCCTGATCTTGCTCGTCAAGAATGATTTTATTAAAATATTGTAGAATTAATCCTATTTCATTATCAGAAAGAAATTTATTCAATAAAATCATATCATGCAATCCTCGCAGACCACATAGTCGTAGCTCATTATATTCATTGATTCCTAAAAGTGCTGAACTGAAGATGTCCAACATATCATCTTTATACGGTGCCAATGGCATTACAAAATTTTGGTCTATATGCATAAAATTAATTATTAATCTGTCTCAATTCAATATTTGAAAAATAAAAATATGGATATGGATTTACATTTAAAACCTTTGGTATTTGGAGCATTTTCAATAGAACCGTAAAGGTATCGAACAGCAGCAATCAATTCTACCAATATTTCAAGGATGCCCTTCTTTCGAGTAGCCAAATCGCTAGTTCTATATTGGATTATGAAATTCTTTAATGTCGCAGAGATAATAATATTACACGCCGGATCTAAGAACATTTAAAGATTAAGCACTTCAAATTATTAAGCATATTATTTCCAGACGGTTAGTAAACATATTTACCAGATGTCATTGCACAGTATTTTAATATCTTTCCGCAGGGCTTTGCTAATTTTAGTTCAGAGTTTTTAAGGTTTTCTAAACATTCAGTGACAACATTCTTTAGAAATTGTTGCAGATGGTCTAGACTTTCTATTTCATCTGCTGATAAAGTCTCGGTAATGCTTTGGATAGTTTCAAGAGTAATAAGTTCAAATGAATCATTTGTAGCGTTTATAATCTAATACAAGTTTTGAATTAATGATATAATCGGGTATATCTTATCTTTCTTACAATAACCTCCAACTTTAATGCCCAAAAGTTTTAAATAACTCACTTCATCTTTTAAATAATCCCACAAAACTTCAAGATGAGGAACAATGGCACTTAATCCATACACTGGGGCACATGCTTTTAATGCCACCATGGAATCTTTCTGTATAATAAGATAAAGACATCTTTATATATGAATAAGCATGTCTATCTAATGGAATTATATAAGGAATAAAATTAATGTAGTAGCTAAGGCCGAGAATACTGAAGCTGGAGTTTTGAAGCTCTATTTCAATCTATTAAACCTACTAAATTCATTTGTACTTTTATTAATAACTAACCACAGCTTCAGTTGATCTCAGTTTCAGCTGCCACAGCTAATATCAAATTTTCACCTTTGCATTACTAGAATCAGAAGCTAATTTTTCAACCAGCAATGGCATTGCAAATTTAGCAAAAAGTGGTGTTGCAGATAAACATTCTCTATGATGCGTCAATTTGGTAAATAAATAATCATGAATAATAAGCCAAAGTAAACCTATTTCAATAATACCTTAACGCTAGTTTTAAATCGTCTGCTGTAATTCCATAGGGATCATCTGGAGGTGGTTTAAACGTAATGGGAAAGTAGCAAAAAGTCACTTCAAAAAGTGACTAATGAAATATAAATTCATTCCATATTAATGCAGTACTAATAGTCATAAAGATTACAGATAACCACAAATACCTCAACATGGGAAGAAATATCAAATTCTTGAATAATCAACTTGATCGAAGAAAAAGCCAATAACAAATTTCGTGGATCTTTTTCACCATCCATAGATTGAATATATCCTATAACGAATTCTGATCCTAACTGTTTCAATGCTTTTAAATCGGTTAGAATAAATTGCTAATTTAATATATTATATAATTTTAAAGTATAAATGTTTTACCATGAAGATGATCACGTAATAATATATCTAATGTTTGAAGCACTTCATGACGGACAATCTGCTGGAGACTTTGAACATTTACTCTTGCAAAAATTCTTCATATATTTGATATTTAAGAACAATAGATGTTAATATTGTACAACCTAAAATAAAATATGTATACCTATCGATGGTTACGTACGCTTTAAAAACCTTAACTGCGTGTTCGTCACTAAAAGTTTTAAACTGTAAAAGGAATCTCAATCCACGGATTAGATCGGGAACACTCGTTTTGTCGGATAATCTTTCACAATAGAAGTCTACCAGTACATTAGCTATCAGAATTACCTAAAGTTAGAATAAACCATAAAAAAAAAACCAATATTATCACGAATTCTAAAGAGCAACTGTACAATACCAGCGGTATAATTGATTTGTTCTTGAGGACACTCTGAAAGCACTGAAGATAAAAGTCTTGTGCCTTTATAATATGTAAATGAATAACTTAATTATAGATGAAAATCATTATAAAATAAGATGGATTCCCGAAGTACCTTTAGCACGAATTGCGGAATCCTCACTGGTTAAAAATTCGCCGAGTGATTTAACAAGCGATAATAAATTTTGACCATTATGCACTTCTAATTAAAAAAA